TAACATACTGCTATGCAAGTGTAAAAATAATTTGCAATTGTTTTTTTATAACATGGAAATATTTTTAGATATTGCTTCAAAAACTTTTCAAAAAAAACCAAAATTCATACACTAATAAAAATATGATAAATACAAAATTCGTGCAATACAAGTGATAGCGACTAGTATTCTAAAGGGAGTCAAACAAGGGTTTAATCCGCAACTATTCATCGATGGAAAAATAAAATAAAGTAAAGAGGTAACAATTAAAGGAAAACAATAGTTCCATTTGATATTTTCTTTAATTGCATTTGTGTAGGAGTCCAAAAGAGTTTTCTTCTTTTTATTTGTAACGAAATTCCAAGTTTCAAAACTAATTATCTTTTTTATTCTACGGATCTATCTAAATGGCAATTTGAGTCCTAGTCCCCGTTTGGCCCCCGTTAGGTGTAAATAAAAATGGGTGGAATTATATTTTTTTCAAAAATGAGTTGTTGAAAAAGAAAGAAATTTTTTCAATTTACGTGTTATATTATTTTATGGAAGATTGTGTGGTTGAAAATAGGAGAGGGAAAAATGAAATGTAATTGAATGAAAATTAATGGGGGCCTAATTTTAGTGATTGGAGTAGGAGTTTTTTTTTTTAATTAATTTATAATAAATTTTAAAAATTGTCTATAATTATAACGAGTTCATTTTAGGAAATTTCGTAATAAAGTTTTCAGTTTAATTCTACTCAAAACGTTGTTTTATGTTAGTTAGAGCATCTCTATAAAGAGCACCAAATTTGATAATCAAGTAATAAGAAATAATTATTGATACAATAAATTTCATTAAAAATTATTTTTTAAACAAATATAATTTTCGAATTAACAATTTTAGTTATAATATAATTTTTAATTAAATAATTTAAAATAAAATTTAGTGTAAAACAATCTCCAGTAATTACAAAATTTGGTCCCTCATTGGAGACCATTTTACACTAAATTAAAACACCAAATTCTGTCCCTCATTGGAGATGGGCTTATTAAGCTTCTGTTTGGCATAGATTAAACTCATTTTTAAATAAATTTTGATAAAAATTAGTAAAATGTGTGATCGAAAAATTGTGAGTCCCTTAAAATGTGTGTTTAAAATTAATTGTTGACTCTAACTTAAAATTTTTATTAACTTTTAATTTACAACAAACAATAACTATTTCCCCCTATTTTACTTTAAATCAATAAACTTTGGTGACGTAGTCCATTTTTTGTTGAACTCATATACAATCACAAATTATTTACATAAAATAATTCTATAGTGAATCCGTTATCTTTCCTATTTTTTAACCAAATATTCTTCAAAAATTATTGTTGTTTACAAATTTTATTCCAAGAATATCTAAAACAAACCTACCCTTCATTTCCTACTTGAAGAAATATCTTTTTCCACCCACTTGAATTACGTCTTGACAATAAAGCCATTTTTTTCCACCACTTGAATCACGTCTTGACAAGAAGACGATTGGTTATTTTCCAAATTGAATTTTCGCGTAAAGAAGAGTTGATGGCCGACACAAACAATAGATATCACTTAACAAACTCAAAACAACATGCAGCAATTGGAGTGGAGAAATGTCGACATCTTCGTACCAACTTTCAGTTTGCTGTTTCCAGATGACTTAACTAAAACGTGCAAAATATGGTTTTTAAATTAGCATGAATCACTAGGATAATAACATGTGACATTAGATAATAGGTTAAATGAATTGTGAAATTAAATGACTTATATAATTTTACCTATCATTTAATATTACATTAATGCCACTTAAATTGAGGTTGTAACCTCAATGGGCTAAATAGCATTAACAAATTATATAGCCTATCTATGTGCATTTGATACTTGCATTTTGTCTATTTCAAATGTCCCGATAATCACACGAAATTGATATTACTTTTTATAAAGTTGATCTTCTAAAATGACACTCCTTTTGAGATAAGCCAAATTTTGCTAAGTCCCCGTTTGGCCTCCATTCTTTTCAAGTTTTAATGATTGAAATAGTATTTTTTGAAAAACGTGTGGTTGAAAAAGAATGAAAAGTTTTTGATTTGTTTGTAATATTATTTTATAGAAGATTGTGTGGTTGAAAATAATAGAAAGAAAATAAAATGAGAATGAGGGTCAAACGAGAGCTAAATATGTTAGCATACCCGCAACAAGAAAATTGTAGCATGTCTTCAGGTCTTATGATTATCATCAGTAGCGGATTTAGTAGGTGGCCAGAAGGATTCAAACCTATAACTTCTAAAATTAGGATAACTGGAAGTTTAACTATCATGGCAATTGTTAAATTTTGAATCTAAATTTAACAAAATAATAAATGTTAAGACTTTAGGAGAGTTTTCATTTTTTCTTCTTATTTTTTTGGTTTTTGTCGTTTTAAATATTTTATGCTTCAATAATTTATAAGATATGACTTAAAAGTATTGAATTTTAATTTATATGTTATTTGAGAATTTGTCTACTGTGAATTGTGATATTAAAAATTAATTTAAGTATCGTGAATGTGAATATATGATTCATGAAAATTGAAAATAAGAAATTGGGGAATTTATAATTTGTGATGAATTTGTGTTGAGAATTGGAAATTGAAACTTTAATATATTTTAAAATTAAATTTAATTACGTTTAATCGTTAATTAACGTTCAATTCTCATACTAATTATGGAATGATTTTTTCAACTGAATTTCAATCTAGTTCTAATAGTGATGTATCTAAGCTCTCAACTACTTTTAGTCAAGCAAACGATTTGTTAAGCATTGATAACACAAAGAAGTCTTATATATCATATAATTTATATTATTTTAGATTGTGTGGAAATATAATATGATATAAATATACGATTTTTATGTTTAGTTTATTTACATATAGATCGAACATTTTTTAATATTATTTAATTTAATATTAATAAACAATATCGCTATACAGCCATTAACTATCAACAGTCAACGATCAACGGTCGCTCTAGCTGAGTCGTAGTTCTAAATTCGCCCTTGATTATCGTAGCAAATAGGTTCTAAAATTTTATATTCTGGTAATCAGCTTTCGAATTTTTAAACATAAAAACTTTGATCCTGAAATAGGTGGTTTCAAAGTAAAAAAACAAATTCTCCTCCGCAGAGTGTTCGTGATATATTTATTTGTTCAAACTATTCTCAGATTATTGAGAAATTAAAGTCGTAAGTGAATCCTAAACCACTATGAAATATGACAATTGGAAGTGAAAAAAATAGAAAAACACTCCTATCCCTACTTAGAATATGAAATTTATATACTAAAGTTGGACTTTTTTTATTTCAATATTCTTATCATGTGTCGACAAGTCTAATATCAAATATCTAGATAGACGACTAAACGTTGTAATGAACACAGTCAGAAACAACTTAATATAAAAGAGAAATATGAAATATGTCAAGTCATGCTCCTTTCTAAACTAATGTCACAATCACCAGCCCATGCTAATCTGGTTTTGATTAGTACCACTCAATTTGGAGATAAAAATAGTGAGAATTTGGCCCCAAGAATTGCTTGTCGACAGCTCCTTCTACTTCACTTTCACATTATTGTCTCTCCGCGTTCAACTCGCGGCAACTTGTGGCTAGCTCTTGCATAACCCAAGAAGACCAAACATATTGGCTAATGGGTTAAAAACTTGGATGCTCACCAAACCTTCAAAATGTGTCAATTTAATTATCCGACTTGCAATCGAATTAATATATTTATTTTAGTTAAGTTATTAACTTATTATTCAGTTAAAAATACGTGATGATTTCATTTAGTGGTTTGACGGTGTTACTTGTACGAATGATCATCTTAGTGAGATGATATTAATAAGCTAAAAAATATAATTTCTCATACGATTTTGATTTCAGGATACTCATTTAAATGTTTTAAACTCTTTGATTTTTACCAAACAATATATTCACTCAAAAGTAGGGATTAAAGCGATTTTAGAGTTTACTTTGATTGATTTTTAGCCACCAACTCTTTTCCGTGTTGCCGCATAATTTTTGCCCCTCATTCCACCTTACTTTCTAATAAATAAATTTTATTAGTTAAAATTGATATCGTAAAAATCATGTTAGCAAAATAAGTAACTTAAATATATGATGGGCTAAACTTAAAGAGTCATAAAATCTGAATGATGTTATTCAACTTCATTGGCGTTAAGTATTAATTTAGGTGTCAATTAAATGATATTAAATTATAAATTCATTTAAATATAATATCATATGATTCATTTAATTGAACACATCAATTGTAGTCGCACAGAGTGATGCTATTAAATAACGTTATTCTAACATCTTCATTCTATTGCTACTTGGTTGCAAGCTATTGGTTTAAGTCACATATTCAAGAGATTTGATTACAGGCTGTTGGATCATATCACATATTCAAGAGATTTGGTCACCTGTTATTGGATCAAGTCACAGTCTCATGCAACATGACGCATGTCAAAGTGCATAAGTCACAAGTCATGGATTCAAAAAATTTGGCCAACAGACCTAAGAGATTAGTTCGCATGCCATTGAATTAGATCATAGGTCANAAGGGATAGCGACAGAACAGGCGAGCAAGGGTGACAGTGGGGCATGGGGCGATTATTTGCTGGAATTGGTGTAGATTAATTTAATTTGATAATATTATTATTTAAAATTAAAATAGAATTAACACTTGACTTTTACATTTTTAAATTTAATATCTGAAAATTGATTTGATGCTTGTTTAATACCTGGCTTATAAATTTTTTCTAAAGTAATAACCTCTAAAGAACTTTCACTCGTTAAAAGTCTTGCTCAACCGATCCATTGACATTTTGGCTTCTGCTAATTTCCACACAGTAAAATAACGTGGGAAATTTGTTTATTTAGCGCACGCGTAATTCATGGCTAATTGTCTGTGGGGCTTCTGCATACTAATTAGTAGGAGTCCAACCGTGAGCAAATCACAAACACGGCCTGTATTCTGTGTTCTGAATGCTCTTGGTGGGGAAAAAAAAAGTCTGCTTGAGGAGCCCACAATTCTCTCCATGAAAAAAAATCTATATAGCAACTGTTTCTTCCACTCCCCCAATATAAATCAAAACCCCCAATACCATTAATCGCATTGCCCTCATCTGTTCTCTCTCTAAAACGTTCCTATTTCTCTCTCTAAAACATTTGGTATTCTATGGCCATGGATTTTGAGGTTTCGTCCTGGTTTCAATCAGTACTCGGTTTTTTGTTCTTCCCTTTGATGACTTCTTTTTTCGTTTCATCTATTTTGGTTTTTGTTTTGAGGTTGAAACCATGTTGTAAATGTGAAACCTGCCAGACTTTTCTTACTTCGAGTTGGTTAAGGAAATTCGGCAACTTCTGTGATTGGTATTCTCATCTTTTGCAAAATTCTCCCACAGGAACAATTCATGTTCATGTACTAGGTAACATAATCACAGCCAACCCTGAAAACGTTGAATACATTTTGAAAACACGCTTTCAGAATTACCCAAAGGGGAAACATTTTTCTGTTATTTTGGGTGATCTATTGGGAAGAGGGATATTCAATGTTGATGATGATTTATGGAAGTTTCAAAGGAAAATGGCGACTTTAGAACTTGGGAGTCTTTCTGTAAGATCATACGCTTTTGATATTGTTTCTTCAGAGATTCGGTGTAGGCTGATTCCTCTATTATCTTCTTTTGCTGGTAAAGAGAATGGTACTCTTGATTTGCAAGACGTGTTGCGAAGATTTTCATTCGATAGTATATGCAGATTTTCATTTGGCTTGGATCCTGGTTGCCTTAAATTATCACTGCCCATTTCGAAATTTGCTGAGGCCTTTGATATCGCATCGAAGTTATCTGCAGAAAGAGCACTGACCGCATTCCCTTTCGTCTGGAAACTCAAAAGGTACGTCTTCACAATAAACAACATTTAAACTTTTTTCTTCGTTGATAGTGTCATGTACAATTTGTCTAATCCAACGTGCCAAGCAGGTTTTTCGGATTAGGAACGGAGAAGCAACTCAAAGAAGCGATAAAATTGGTTGACGTTCTGGCCATGGAGGTCATAAAGCACAAAAGAGACATGGGAGTTTCCAATCAAGAAGACCTTCTGTCAAGATTCATGAGCACCATTGATGATGACAAGTTCCTAAGAGACATTGTAATAAGCTTTCTTTTAGCAGGCCGCGACACCGTGGCTTCGGCGCTAACAACCTTTTTTTGGTTGCTGTCAAATCATCCAGACTCCTTGGAGAATATTCGAGAAGAATCGGACCGTGTCATGGGACTAACCCAAGACCTCCCGAACTTCGAGCAATTAAAAAAAATGCCCTATTTACAAGCAGCGGTTCATGAGAGTATGAGGCTATATCCACCAGTGCAATTTGATTCAAAATTCTGTCAGGAAAATGATAGTCTCCCTGATGGGACATTTGTAGCCAAAGGCACTAGGGTTACCTACCACCCATATGCCATGGGCAGAAATGAAAGAATTTGGGGTTCAGATAGTCTTGAATTTAAGCCAGAAAGATGGTTAAAAAATGGGGTTTTCAAGCAGGCTAATCCCTTCAAGTACCCAGTTTTTCAGGCAGGACCAAGAGTTTGTTTGGGCAAAGATATGGCACTTGTGGAGATGAAATGTGTTGCTTTGTCTTTGATTAGAAAGTTTGATATCCACGTGGCAACGTCGAGTCAGCAGCCTAAGTTCATGCCAGGTCTCACCGCTACAGTCCGAGGTGGTCTACAAGTTCTAATTCAAGAAAGAGGGTCCCAGCCGTGAGCCAGGACTAACTTGTTTTATGTGTCTCGGACACGAATCGGGGTGAGGTCAAGGTTAGATAACAAATAAGCGATTTGATTGATGGATCAAGGCTTGATGGGCACGAAAGGGCCGATTGACACCATCTTATCAAGGTTCGAATTATTGACCGCAAGATTTTCGATCCTTTATCCCCAATTTATTCAAGCAAAACAAGAGCCTTGTGCAATGATTATGGCACTATCCATCGAGATGACGTGGGCAAATTCATATTAATCCAAGATCGCTATGAAAGAGCCAGATTGATGATTTCTTGAGCCAAAAACTTTCGAGGAATGACATGACCGTGTTGATTCCATCAACAAATAAAAATAAATTAAGTCTTAATTTTTGAAATACGACAAGGTCAAGTGATACTGTTGTACTACAAACCAGTGTGTACTGCCAAGATTGGAATCATTGTTACATTTCATGATACAATTTCTTAAAGATTTGAAGTATTTTAAAGTTTTGTTGGGATTCCAAAATACACTAGAGATGTTAGATACAATGTACTTGTGTAGAATTTTTTAATTTGCATGTATTTAGAAGTATAAGAATCCATGGGAGCCCAAATGAACCGCCGCAGTTTATTGCCAATACCATTTGCTTCCACGTTTATTTATAAACAATGACTGACAACAAAGTTTTCTCTTTACAACAAATATGTAATTTCTACTAAGGTTGGCAAAATAATATTTAAGATATAAAATAAATTAATATAATTCGTGATTTTTTTTAATTGAAAGTAATTGAATTTTCTGGATTAAATAATTAGCATTTCGAAATTCCTTTGCTAGTTCATATTCCATATTAAGCCACATAAAATGGATTAAAATTTAATTTAATATTAATAACACATTTGATGGA